TTTCGCTGGGAGGGATGTCATTACCAGGGCGCTAGCAGCCAGTGATGCCCATAGAAAGTGACCCCGAGCGCAGTCAATGACTATTTGTCTTTCCTCGCCAGTAAGTGAGCCTAGTGCCCTGCTAACATACACCGAGACATCGTAGTCTCGTGAACTACTGTGTATATCCAGTAGACAAGCATCTTTCCCGCAAACATTGGGCGCATCGTGGAGCAATTTATCAATCTCCAGTCCGCGTCGACTGGTAAGATGGAGCCAGACAATACACTGAAGCAGCTCTACGAGGCCATTTTAGAAAACGCTTTACCAGACGAAGGCTCTCTGACGCTCATGCGATATGTCTTGCAAGCAGTATCCTTAACTTTTCAACCTATTTCCATATTTACAATCGAAAGATTCTCCCCAGCTGATCCAGAGAACCGATCTCCCAGTTACGTGCAAATTCTTGTCGATCGATTGGCTAGTGTAATGAAGGATGGAACCATATATCTTCCGATTCATACTTTACACCCATCTTTTCAACAATTCCTCAAGAATCAGCCTCCTGAGGCGAAATTCTATCTGGAGCCGGGCCATGGTCATGCCCGCCTAGCTACCGCTTGCCTTGATCTACTCCCAAACTTGAAAACAGGAACCTGGACACACGTTGTGCCATTGTCAAAGATCCCTCGTGAATGGGAACCAATTCCCCCAAAAGTCCTCGAGGAGGGACCAGACATGCCGTTGAGGTATGCAGTGACATTTTGGGCAAAGCATATGTGTGATGCGCTGGATAATCCTCATGCTTGTGATAAGCTCCTTAGATTCTTCGCCAACGGCTTTCTTGCTTGGGTCGAATGGGCCAGCGCCATTCGAGAAATACCCGAAGGTATGAATGCGCTGGTAATTCTGCGAAAACACATACACACTTTAAACTTGTTAGGAGGATTCGACCACTTGGTAAGAATGTGTCCATTATGATTACAACCAAATACTCAATATATTCAGGATTGGCAACTTGAAAAATGGTGCAACGATGCTCTCAATTTCTTACAAACAAATCAAGAAGTAATAGAGAGATATCCTAAGCAAGTGCATATGTCCGCTTTATTCTTCACACCGACCAACTCATTCATCCATAAATCATATTTCATTGAATCGCAAACAACTGTTCCCATCATCTTCAACAGCCCTTCCATCGTTCAATCGACACATCGAGTACTTATGAGTGGAGTGGGGAAGTCAGGTATCCTTGCTTGTGAATTCTCGTTGGATGGTCAAAGACTTTGGACCCTCACTGTTAATGGAACCATCCGTTTATGGCGCGCCAGGGATGGAACTGTGATCATGGATCTTGAGGACCCTCGATGCGCACCTGGTTTTCGATGCGCACAATTTTCAAAGAATGGGTCTCTCATAGTGTCAGGTGGAAGTTTGGATCACCGAGTTGCGATATGGGATGGAGTTACAGGAAAACTGATCAGAGTGTTCCCGAGAGAACATCAATCTGTGGTAAAACATGTCGTCTTCGCCTTGGAAGATGGATTTATAGTCTCCTCTTTCGAGGATTCAACAATGAGGCGTTGGCCTAATATCGACGAGCCTGATTCAGATCAATTCAAAGGTGCAGTGCACACCCGATCAGTTGAAGGGTTGATCGTTTCACCCAATGGCGTATTCGTCTGTTCATGGTCTACAGACTCTCTCATCCTCTGGGATGCAGAATCACCTTCTTCAATTCGGAAATGGGAAGAGAAGGGGGGATTTGTTGCAGCAATTTTCTCTCTCGACGGAAGAAAACTGATCGGGGGTGACGACAGCGGCAAAATTCATTTCTGGGATACATCGACTACAGATACTATACGCATCATCGAGGCCCATCAAGGTTGTGTTTTTTCATTGGCCATCTGTGCTGATAGAACGACCCTTGCATCTGGCTCTTTGTATGAGAATACACTCCGACTCTGGAATATCCATACCGGAGAAGAGTTATGCTCACCATTATCTACACACACCGACGATATCGTAGCACTAGCCTTCAGTAAGAAGGGAAGAAGGCTTTTCTCGGCAAGTTGTGACCGCACAATTCGGGTATGGAACCTTTGGCAGAACAGGAAAAGTATATCAACAGATAGCTTCGCATTAGTCGGGCACACCGATGAGCTGACCTTAATAGCAGTCACACCTGACGGTGATAAAGTCGTGTCGTCTTCAGGAGACGCTACTGTCCGATTGTGGGAAGTATATGATGACGGAGAGTCGACTCGACACGTTGGATATTTCCAGCACGACAGGATTGAGCGTGTTGTCTTTTCGCAAGATGGAAGAGTTATCCTATGCGTCTTCAGATCTGGAAAGTTTCAACTTTGGGACTCTGGCACAGGTCATATTATTGGGAACGCTGTTGTTCGTGATGACGGCCCTCTTTGCTCCTGTGACTTCTCCATTCAATGCGACATATTTGCAACTGGATATGAAGAGGGAGTAGCGGTAATATGGAAGTCGCTGAATGGTAGGAGTATTTCTTTCGAGCTGAGTCGACACTCTAGCGCGATTAGATGCGTCAAATTCTCCAGGGCGAACATGACTCTCGCAGTTGGAGGTGACGCCGTATCAATTTGGAAGGTCGATAGAAATAACTTGAATGGAAGTGAGCTAACTTGGAATCTCGATATTTTGGCCATACCAAATAAAATTGACTTCTCTCCCGATGAGAAATATATAGCAATCTGTATGACCAATCAAGAGCTGGACGTATGGAACCTCGAGGATGGACGCCTTGCATCGAAAGCCACTGCTGGGAGAAAAAGTTATGACAAACATCTGATTTTCTCTCCAGATGGAAAAACCATCGCAACAGGCACAATGGACGGTGTTGATCTTTATGACTTCAATGTTCACACAGGCCTTTGTTTGTTTGCGTCAATGAGATGTGCTAACTCGCGGAGGATTGGCTTTTCAGACGATGGTAGGCAAATATACGTAGACACTTACTTTGCTGATATCTATCATCTTTCACGGGAAAAACTCAATTATCCCTTCCTCCGTGGAAGGGTAAAACGAGGAGTATCAACACCTCTTCCTTCCTTTACTTTCCAAACGCAGTGGTCACATATCGTCCCTATGAGAGAAAGAGAACCAGGGGAGTCAGGTAGCTTCTTGGCTCTTCCTACCAACATCAATGTGGAGAAATGGGAAGCGTATGGCAATCAAATTGCCCTGGGGCTCCACGATGGAAGCTTGATGATTGTTCACATTCCACACGACTATCTATAGTTGAATGTAAAATGATTCCTCTGCGAGTACGAATATGATCTCTATTACATTTTGACTTTCATGAGCGCCATCCCTTCAACTACAGGAGCAGCAGGTGGGCAGGTAGGCCCCCATGACACTTCACAATCATTTTTTGGCTT